CCCTGAGAAATAGCTGGGGTACCACGAGCGGGGAGTGGTGAAGGTCTGGCCAGAGAGGTGTAGCAAGGTCATCCTTGGTTCACCCACATAGCCCGATCGCCGCGATGCCTTACGATCACTTGACCCTTGCGGTGGTATCGCAACAGTGCAGCCGCCAAGCAGTATCGACCGCAGTCATCTTCAGCCTCTGCTGGTAACTAATTGTTACCCTCCGGACCCATCCTTCTGGAGAGGGGAACGCTGATATGTGTATGCACGCCTGAGGTGGTCAAGGACGCCATGAAACCCGTTCGGATCCGGACAAAAAGAAACGAGGAGAACAACAACAACAGGATCAACACGAGGGTTCCTTCTTCCATTTGCCAACGGGTTGGCTGAGACTGAATGAGAATGGTCTTACAATCGAATATCAAGTAAGTCACCATACATATCAGCCAAAGCGACGTTTAGGCACTGCCAACTCGTAGGGTTGACGTTGAAGTGAGCTTTGACACCCGATGTCTCGGAAGGCGACAACGAGAAAACAGGGCGCCCTTTCGGGCTTGTGGACTCGATGGCCAACACTGCAGCCTCATCGAAGTGATGACCCTCTCGACACCGGTTGCCGTACTTGCAAACCGACAGTTGACTCGAGAGATGGCCTATGATGCTTCCACATAAATCTCACTAGATCAGTCCCACATTACCCACAGTCAATTCGCGCCTTGGAGAGCCTCTGAATTGCACGCGCATGTGACTCCAAAAAAAAAAAAAACCTTCTGGTTCGTGTAGCAAAGAGTAGCATCCACCGTTGCGACGAGACGGGTTTCGTGACATGGACCGTGATGGGGACGGCGGTTCGATGAACGAAGCTGCATGAATTTCCGTATCCGCTGGGATCCGTCACGTTCGTTGGGCTGCACCAATCGGGCCAATTCGCTGGTGCCTGATCAATACCCATACCGCACGGGCAAGCGACTGGTGTAAAAACGAGCACTTTGGCTCAGGGGGCGTCTTGCTGGAAAAACGGTTAGCATCCGTCTAGCAAACGAAGCAAATGAGTGGTGTCTTGTGAATTCATGCCTCCTGTAAATGGCTTCAAGCAGACATCTGTGTTCATCCGTCCGCGTCCGGGTCGTTCATTAATCGGGAAATGACCACAGGAACAAGCGCCAATTGCTGACCACCTCCATCTTTTCACCTAGATTGCCGCGCGATGTCGGCAATCTCGCATTTTTAAGTGGGAGCAGACAAAGAGTCCCAATCGAGGTGGCCTCGGTTGGTTACTCGAGCTGATGTCAGCACCCCCTTTTCACGGCCTCAAGGCCAGGATGATTTGGATGAAGGTCGATTCGGAGGTGGTCGCACAGCAGTGCGGCCACAACCTCCTGGCAATGAGGAGCGCAGGAGTCGGCATGCTGTCTGTCGTCCCAAGAGGCGGTGTGTGACGCAACACAGATCGAATGAGGCTGCACGACAAGTGTCAATTGACTGATCAGGGTCTGGACTAGGTGCAGGGTCTCATGCATGTTCATATCCGGGGCACAGCCTTGAGAGGAAGAAAAAAAGATCAGGTGTCTGTCTGCCTGATTGGGAATCTCCTGCCTGAGGTTCGAAATGTTGGGAACGATCGGAAGGAAGTCGCGTGCCAGATTGAGGCAAGTCCAGTCCAGGTACATGTAAGCCAGTCACTCCTTGACACCTGCCTTCGCATAACCTCGCTCCTCCTCCACGCCACTCGCGCGGAGAAACGAACGATTTGCACTGACGAGGGAGCGCTTGCCAGCGTTGAACCACCACTAGTGAACGTGCGCCAGCGTGCGGACGCCCCTGGAAGATCTCCACCGAAACAAGCCTCCCCAGCTCGCTGACTCTACGGAACACCGATTCCAATGTCCAGTTGAAGGGATCACTGGCCACTAGCGGTCACTAGAAAGCTTCGCCACGACGTGAATGGAGCCCTGTTTTCCACATTTAACCTCACCCGCGGGCCAGACGCTTCGGATTCCCACTATTCATGACAAGCTTTTCCAGACCGACGATCTCGGTCATCTCCACATCCGCCATGGACTCTAGAATACCTACGGAACGCTGCAGTAGGACACTTATCGATCAACGAAGCTGGAAAGCTGGAAGCTGGATAATTTGCGGGAATGCAAGCGTCCCTAGCAAGATGGATCTTCACTCCCCTGCCTTGCTGACCGAGATGAATGGTGGCACGCACTTTGGTCATGGTTCCAATGTCTTGGCACGGAGAACTCGAATTGGCCAACAGCGTGGCGGTCCAGAACTTACCTTGCTGGATGTTTACTCAATACAACAGCACCTGTGTTCCCCCCTGAATCGTGACACGCACGCTGTGACCCTCAAACAGGGCAGCACAGCCGCCCAGCCTGCCAGCCCTCCAAGGTGCCAGGTGCCAGGAAGGCTCTTTTTTTAGTGGACGTGCAAGCGAACTGAGCCTGGAACAGGTTCCTCGGGCGCCTCCCGCTCCCAAGACAAGTAAGTGCCCTGGCTCCACGTGTTGTCCTCCCTTCCAATTCAGGTCTGGCTCAAGCAAGCCACCAATGCCACGCTCAAGTACGTCGTTGACGCAGGCGCGTCCGCGTGAGAATGTCGACAATGGTGGCCCCTGTTTCACCACAAACACCATCACCAATAGCCCGACGCTCGCACGCTCGCCCTTCCATTGCTTGGCGGCCGTTGACGAGAAGCAGAATCGGGGGGGGGGGGGGGCTTGAGGGAAAGCCAAAGCGGCCAAGACACACACTCAAAGCCCAGCTTTCACCAGATGATTGGATGGTGGGGAAAGTACCGGGGCATCGCACTGGCACGGGCCGGCGTTGAGCTTATCCCGATTCGGGTGACTCAGGTGGGTTCTCAGGGGGGCACTGCCGCTTCGTGTCCAGGCCTCGCTGGCGCGCTGCCAGGTCATTTCTGGCCAAAGGCCTCAGGGGGTTGCACCTGTCGATGGAAGGACGCCCTGCACCTACCTGCAGGCTGCAAGCCACGAAACACGAGATAATTTCTTCACCTGCCGACGACCTGTCGTTTTTGGTCCCTAACTCCATTGTGCTTTCCTCAAAACCGACTCGCGCCCCGGTCATTGCTTCCTTTTTTGATCAGTTTCAGCTTGACTTGGTTTTCCCGCCGCCCCTTCCTCTTGCCATCTCATCTCCTCTGGCACCTGCACATTAATATTTCTTGGCCTTGCTTTCCCTCCTTGCCGCACAGCGCCTTCCACCATTGAAGCCATCACGACTTTCTCTCTCCGTCTTTCTCTCTCGCGATACCCAACATCACTTAAACACCACCCACCGCCGGTACTCTTCCACTGGCAGGCCCAGACAACTAACAAACACCCAACCTCGTCTTTGAACTGCCCCGTCCTTCTTTGTTGAGCCACCTAGCGCTGCCAGCCGCACCTGTCTCGGCCATCACCATCGTTTCGACTGAACAACGTCTTGCCCTGGACAACTTTCCCCCAAGGAACGAACACCAACAGCCATCCAGAACAACATCCCTTAATACCATCCCATAATCACCACTATGGCTGACGACGGCGCCCCCGCTGCTTCTGGTGCTGGTGGTCACGGTGCCGGCCACGGCGCCGCTGCCACCGCTGCGGCGTCCAACTCGGACCACACCCAGTTCAACCGCGACACCCAGGAGAAGCGTATCAACATGCCCCCGGCGCTCAACCTCACCGAAGTCACATCTCCTGTCTATCCCGAGACGCCCAACTACTTCAGCCGCAAGAACACGAGCGTCGATGTCGAGGACTACTTCACTGGTCCTCGCGATATCCAGAAGCACTCCAAGTGGCCCTTCGTGCTGCAGATGCATGGCTCCATTCTCCCCCGCCTGCTCGTTCCTCTGATCATTGTCACCATCTGGTCCACCCTCATTACCTGCCTCTCCAAGTTTGTGTACAACCTCGGTGTCCAGTCCATCCTTCTCACCGTCCTCGGTTTCGTCGTCGGTCTGGGTCTGTCTTTCCGATCATCCACCGCCTATGAACGTTATGCCGAGGGCCGCCGCTACTGGGCTCAGCTCATCCACGTCTCGCAGACGCTTGGCCGCGTCTTCTGGATCCACGCCAAGGAGCACCCCGAGCTGGCTAAGAAGGATATGATGCTCCGCCGCGTGAGCTGCCTGAACCTCGTTCTTGCCTTCTCCGTCGCGCTGAAGCACAAGCTCCGCTTCGAGCCCTACACCGTCTACGAGGATCTTCAGCACCTCGTCGGCCACCTCAACACCTTCGCCAAGACGGCCGCTGCCACTGATCCGCAGTGCACCACTCTGCCCAAGAAGAACTTCTTCAAGGAAGTGGGCGAATACCTCGGCGTCTCCTTCGCCGAGTCCAACCCTCGCAAGGCTCTCAAGAAGGCTACGTACCCGCTTGGCAACCTTCCCCTGGAGATCATCTCGCATCTGTCTGTCATTGTCGACGCCATGGTTGCTGACGGCCAGCTCCCCGTTCCCATGCAGCAGACCACTGCGTACACCAGCCTGACTCTGTTGAACGACATCATGACCGGTACCGAGCGCGTCCTCAACACGCCACTGCCCATCGCCTACTCGATTGCCATTGCCCAGATCACCTGGCTCTACGTCCTTCTGCTCCCCTTCCAGCTGTACAAGGCCCTCGAGTGGATCACCATTCCCGCCTGTATCGCTGCCAGCTACATCATTCTCGCTATTCTGTTCATCGGCAAGGAGATTGAAAACCCCTTTGGCCGCGATGTCAACGATCTTCCTCTCGAGGGGTACTGTGAGCAGATTGCCCACGAGCTCGACGTCATTGCCGCCATGGATGTGCACCGCGACATGCCCTACGCCTTCCTCGACTCCCACCTCAACCTTCCCCTGTACCCCGTCAGCATGGCCTCTTTCCCCGTCTGGGCTGAGCGCTCCGAGGAGAAGATTCGCACTGCTATTCAGGGCAAGCCCGTCACGCTTTTCCAGTCTCGCAAGAAGTCTTCGGCTGAGCGCGAGAAGGAGGAGATGGAGCACCGCAAGGCTCGTGAGGGCAGCAATGTCAGCAGCAAGCACCGGGGCGACAACATTGTCTAGCCTGAAAGACTGGCAGCTGGCGTTCTTTTCTTTATCATTTCAAACCAAGACGAATTGATCCCCAAAAAGGGGCTTCATTCTTCAGGGTTTTTTTTTTTCGGGTTGCATATCGCCTTCTCAGGCTGGAACGGACATGGTTAGCAACGGTGTGTGCGCGCATTTGCAAGTCAGGGTGGCTTCGGAAAACAAAATTGACACAATTGGGTGCCTGGTACGGACTACTCTGTATTTTGTGTAATAACTGCGTGTCTGGATAGCAAGAAATCTGCTGTTTCTTCTCTCTGCTTATCACGATCCTGTGACTTCCAATCTTGGTTCAAACGTACCGTGCTATGATACTCACACCCTCCATCGCATGCTGTCCGAAATGGAGCTTTCACAGCGAGGCAGGCCTATGCACCTGACCTGAGGCTCTCGGGTAGTCGATTGCGTCCGCGTGAGGCATGATGTCACCTGGATCCAGTGATAACTAACTCAACCAAAATCTTCACCAGCAAGTACCGATGCGCAATGCCCCAAAGCTTCAATCATGGTTGTGTCCATGGTAGTCTCCACGTACCTTTCCGGGTGATCTCGACTTCCTGTATCTTGTGTAATACCTGGCTCTGGAAGAGCGCCGCCAGCCCCCTCCGTTTGTTCCAAGTCTCTACTTCTTGCGGTTTCGGCATCCTCGAGACTGATGTCGCTGCCGCCGGCGCCTGAAGCATGACTTGCGCTTGGGCAGGATCTTTGTCAGGCGTGATTAGGGTCGAAGTCAGCACAAACGAGGTCAGATGGGCCACTCCTCACTAGGCTCGGCCTTGGAGAAGTGGCTTGCATCTGCGATGAAGTATATTGCGAGGTGCTCGAGATTGAGGCTGTCGAGTGCGATAGCACGGCCGACTACTGCCTAAGGTTCACGACGTGGCGAGCACCCGAACAATGCGGGTCTACCTTTCAGAAACTCCAAGCTGTATGGGCATGCTGATTGAAGTTTTCGAAGATGGCGAGTCTCTTGATGTTGACAAGATCAAACAAAAGAAAGGAACAAATCGGGATAGCCTTAGAATTTATGAGAATTATTCTGGAAGATGTTGCTGGATAGCTAGAAATGAGCAATGAATACTGCCGACGGCGGGAGGGCGGGAGCCTCTCCCACCATCGTGCCTCTGCCTTTTCAGCTCTGGATTATTCGTGGCGCACGACGATTGTTAGGAACTTGCAGATAGCTAGCGGGGCTATACCATACTCCAGACATGGAGTACTTCAGTCGTGGCCATGGTGTAGATGGCTGCCAGTGTCTAGCAACGTCAGTTCTGGACCGCCGCTGTCCGCCGTCACTCCAGCGACATCGGGCAAAAGTGTCAGATGACTGAAGTTGTGCTCCGAGCCGCTGGGTGAGCAAACGCGGAGTCAAGTGTCAACTCAATACCAGCATGGGCTGGGGGTGTAGAACATACTGTCAAATGCTGTAGTGATGGACCATGAGATGTGTTGACGACAACAAACTAGTCGTACCGTTCGTGGATGTATTGAATCGTTGAAGCTTAACCTGCTACCATAGAAGCATCCGTCACAGACCTATTTCCCAGTTCCAGAGAATCCAAATACAGCACACGAGAGCCTGGTTCTGTTGATCCATCGTACCGAAGTCGCCGAGATGCTATGGTATTAGTCTGATTCGAGCAAAGATGTGACACTCAAGTTCACTCTGCTATTGTCGAGGCACCGTAACGTCCCGGAACAGTTTGTACTCATTTCGCATGAGGGCTTCGTAGATGACATGTCAGATTCTCGTAGGGGTTGCAGCTTATGAACAACCGCACTGCGTCTGCTCAGCACTGCTGAAGGAATTTCTGAAGCTGAACAGCAGTTGACTGGCAGTGACGAGTGTGATGCGCCGGAATGGAATCAGCAAAGGTTGAATGCGTCGAGTGAGAGGAATGATGTCGCATACGGTCTTTGTTCGCTCGCCACATTGGCTCTTTCGGCTACGCACAGCTTTCAGAACCTTGCATAGAAGCTAGATTCAATGACTGGTCTGTCGAGGTGCAGTAATCAGGGCACGTGGCTTCAAATGTCTGAACCTCGGCCTTTCACCGTCATCAAGTCCGACTTAGCACAGCACGGTGCTGACCTCTGGTGGGACCACTGTCTCAATGATATTTTTCACCAAGAACAAGCGTCTACTTCGGGGTCGAACACAGCTTTGCCCCTTTACCTGCTGCAATGACCGCTTGCCGTGGCATCATCACAAAGACCTCCAGGCCCTCAGACAACCACGCCAATCCTGGACCACCCCAACTGCACGTCTTGGTCAAGTAGGGCATTGAAATCGAGCCTTGATCCAACTCGAACGTCCTTCTCTTCGACACGTTCAATTGTGTCATTTCAGCCGTGCACAAGACCCTTTGCAGAGTCTTGGACACTCCACGATAACTTGACGTTTGAATGTCTAGCAATCCACGGAACGAGAGCAGTGATACCGATTCCGCCGCCGATCAAAAGCAGTCGGTCGCACTGAATTGCGGTGATGTTCGAACTGTTTGGATATGGTCCGTCTAGGAGGGTGAGAACGTTGTCATTTGTCGTCAAGGCTTCCGTCAGCCCAGTTGACTTCCGTATGAATAGCGTCAAACCAGCGTTGTTCCCGTCAGTGACTGGACGTATTCTGACATCTGCTCGCTCGTTCTTCTCGACGTCGTTGCTTGAACCTGTGGGTGATGCACTGGCTGCAGATTGCCGTGCTTTCCCGTACAACATGGCTGTCGGGATGACGGAGAAGGGGTGGTTCTCCCAGGATCGGAGTCGGTTGAGCGTGGGAAAGTATACATAGACATGCTGCCCCGGCCCCGCAGCCCACCGAATACCATGAATGTCCACTCGAACCACATCGTCATCAATGTTGACAATATTGAATCGGCGCATGCCGTTCTTGAGCACACGCAGCATGTGCATCATCATCCTGTCAAAGAACCAGACTGCACATGCTGCGTACAGCCACATTTCGTAGCCGAATTTGCGCTGGAAGCGAATGTCGACATGATATTAGCAGCTGGCGATGACGAAGACAGCGAGGAGGATATGGATGACGAGGAATACCTCATACGACTGACGACGCACGTAGAGGTTGCTAGCCACCAACATAATGACGACTGCCACTGTGGCGACGCAACCCCAGATCCAATAAGGAAGGCTCAGCTCTTCCGAGTCTGTCCCATTGTTGACATAGAGAGCCAATGCTGTGATGGAATGGATGATGGCCTGGAGCCCGAAGATGCGGGCGATCCAGCGGTGCAACAGCATGAAGGTGGAGTGAGACCAGTTGCTCAGCCAAAGGAGCACGTTGTTGCGGCCAGCGAACAGAATGACCAGCGGTGCCAATGCAAAACCCAGCGTGCCCGTTCGGATTATGATATACTCGAGTATTTTCTGGTATTGGCTCGAGAACCATCCGGTTGGCTGTGCCGATTTGTAGTTGACTGCAGTGAGGATAACGTTCAGTATGATCATGAAGGCAATGTAGGAAGCATGGCCGATCGACGGTGTGATTCCAATCAAATATTCAAGAGGACGGACTCGATATGTACCGATGAGACTTTGCCAAGCGATGTACGGCCTAACCTTGTCCGTGATGCTAGACATGAAAGGCAGATATCCCACGGCGGTGAGAAGGAGAGGTGTTGCGAAGCCGGCGACGAGGATGATGATCCCTAGTGGTTTTCATGTCAGTCGATACACAACAAGACCAAGGTGGATCGGTTTGGCCTACCCATATCTCGCATGGATGACCTCTTCCCGCTCGAAGTATGAAAGGATTTTGAACTGCACATCCCAATCCTCTTCCGACGTCAACACTGTTAGATTGAGACTGTCATGCATCGTGAGGATCTTCGTTGGTGCTTCCTGGATACTTTGCAGCGCCGCAGGGTAGCTCCATTTGGGTGGCGCCGTCGGTTCGCCTGTAGCTTCTTCTTCCCAGAACTTTTGCAGCTTAGAGACAGGAACGTTGAACTCGGCGCACTTTGATTTGAAACACCACGCCAGCGTGGTTAGGAACGACGTATCATTGGCTCGACACTCGGGCGTCGTGGCTGGCATATCATCCATGCCTTCCATCTCCATCATTGATGAACATGAGAGTGCGTTGTTGCTGATGGCGCCATTGCAAGCAAAGGCACATGGGAGCTTGTCCATGTTGATGCCGGTTCCAACGAGGGCAGCATTGGAGCTTGGCACAATGCACGCCAAGCTCAAGACAAAGGGTTGGATAAGACAACATGCTGAAATGGAATTTGCCAAGACGTGGGGTAGGAGGGTCGTACATTCGATGGGGCCATTGATCTGGCCTGGGCGCATCTACTTTTTTTATCTATGCCCGCCCCATTCTCGATTTTTCTCATTGCAGTGGTCTTACCGCTTCAACTTTCCAGAGATGGTGCGACATGAAGGCGGAGGGTTGAGAACATATGAGCAAGTTGTTCTGGAGGTCCAATCAGCGACGAGACGATGGCGCTGCCATCAATGAGCGATGTCTGGACCGGGCTGGTCTACGACTACCTGGTAAGGCTGGCAACGATATCTCACATGCCAGGTGTGCTACAGTCCAGCAATTTGGTGCCGATTGAGGTGCAGATGGCATGGGTGCTCAAAGGAACGTAATCCCAAGACAGTATCATCTAGGGTTGATTCTAGACCTTCATGGTCCAGGGACGAGGACAGCGGAATACCGAAGTGAAAGCTCTTTCGCTAATTGGATGATCAGGTTCAAGGCCCGCTGCCCTTCGTTAACCTTGTGCTCTGGAGCGTGCAGTGGCAGAAATGCGTAGACTGTGCAGGAATGGAACCACACTAGGTACCTTAATCGCAGCTTCTAAACCTGTTCTATCTCAGGGTGTAGTTTGTAACACAGCAATCCTGGTCGACACAATGCTTCGGCAATATACTCTCGTTCCTATTGCCTACACTGACCCCAATTAATATCAGCCTCCTGGAACGATGAGTATGAACAGCGATAGAATCCGTGCATTGATATTATCCAAGAGTCAGCGCGATCTCCACGAGCACTGCCCGAGCACACCATGAAATCATGAATGTTGAATTCGTCGACATCTCAACACACCGCTATGTGCGATCATTTGAGATTTTCCTTAAAAGGCTGTGGACTTGCGCTCATCATGGCATCGAAAATAAGAAAAGAAACATCCACATCCACATCCACATTGAAGATCCGCACCCGCAACACAGACTTCAAAATCAAACAACCACTAGCTTCCGACCACCGGGAAAATATCGCCATGTGTCAAGTCACTACCCGGGAAGTTCATTGCGAAACATGCGGCGAGGTGTTCAAGACTGAGGATTACATCATTGAATGTCAATTCGTAAGGTCGAAAGGGACACAGTGTAGCGGTCGCGGCTTCGTCAGCAGCATGGGTACCTCGAGGCCCATTTTCAGCATGATCAAGAAGTGTAAGTGTGACAAAAGTCTCATGGGTAAGCTACGCGGAAAGTTCACTGGAAAGTAATGAGCTACCCAGGGTGGATCAACTGACACAGGCTTCACATCTTGCAGGCAAGAAGGGACGCATCTTCCAGTCTCAGAATGGTGCCGAGAATCTAGTACAGTTATGTTCTTTGGTAAGATCGAGGTATTGTAGGTCACTAGGGGACCTGTAGCAGCAAAAGGAAAAAAAAAAAAAAAGGATTTGGCTATGGCCTTCCTGCTTACCTATCTCTCAGACCTCTGACCTTTGTGATCTTAAATGTAGGTGAGCTTTTCCATAACCATGGGTACATATACTGGAGACTTTTACCACAAGAAGTATAGTCTGCTTCTCTTTCCGTGCTCTTAGCTCCATAGACCTCGCGGCACGCTTTGAATCTCCAACATGTTCTCATATGGCAGCATTGGACGTTGGGCCACAAGCCTCTTTCATATCCCTGGAGAATCAAAAGAACAGAAATCGTTGTTCCTTCTCAATCGTAGTGCTTCCCGATCTGGCGGTTCAGATATGGGTTCTTGCTCATGTCGTAGGAAATACCCCTTACAGCCCACCCAGCCCAACACCTCGGACCATCAAAATTTGATATATGCCCGACTTGCAAAATAGCCCGTGACTTCTGCACATCACAAAGAGAGTCTGTCACCAAGAGAAGAATTTCAAGAATGAGCTTCTTTCCAGATTTCACCTTTCTTGCCAAAGTTGTTTTGCCTGTAACTATGGAAATTGTGGGCTCCTCGTGATTGATGTCATCCGAGACCACCACGTCAGCACGTGGGCCTCAGACCCATTTCACGATCATCCGAACACAAGACCTGGGGAAAACTGTGGGAGTTGCAATCTTTGTGGGAAACCTAGACCATTCATACGCAAGCCAACCGCCCAGAATTCAGGTCAACGAAGCTTAGCTTTTGCATTGTTCGGTAGGTCTTCTCCGCTTCCCCGTAATATTTCGACTACACTTGAAATCGACGATGGACGAGACTGTCGGTTGTTTGATGACTTGGCTCGATTCGCCACGTCTCGGACCTGCAATGCCTTAAGTGACAGTCTGAAGTTCAATGCCTGGGCCCTGACATCTAAAATTAATGTCTTTCGGCGTTGAATGGTTATTGACTCCTTCCGAAAACATTGCTAACTTCAACCAAGCGAGTGTAGTGTTTGCTTGATGCGTACTAGCCTTGACTGAGCAGCAAAGTCGGTCGCTGACCGCAAAGTGCTTGTGTAGTTGAACACGGACATTGCTTTGTCTCTGCAGGAAATCACTGGTCCTTCTACCGTTGCGTCGATATTACGGCGAGGAGCCAGGAAAGCGGTGCTATGAAACGGTAGTCGCGCTCTTGGCCCTTCGGCTCAAAGGACGTGGGAAGATGTACAAATGTGGAATGACCAGCTCATGAAAGCCGGTCGCTCTTCGTCTCGGGCCGGTTGAACACTGAACAAGTTTCCTGCTGTCTCATCCTTTGAGGGGTTTTCGCACGCTGTCACTGCACGCCGGAACTCCGATCTTGTGCGGCCTCTCGATCTGTGGCAGGTTGGCTGGAGTCGGACTTGCTTCCGACCGACGCAAATCTCCACGACCCTGAGGTGAACGGCACTACCGAGGAGATGGCAAATCTCTCAGGTGCTCAGGGATCGAACCGGGCGCAGAAGCCAAGGCCTTTTTCTGGGCATCATTCATCTCTGCCTCCAAGGTGCGGGCGCGTGGGTTTCGCTAGGCGGTCTGAGATCTTATGGTCCACATATTGCGTGAAAACCTGCACAGACCAAAGCAGACGGCAGGTGAACGGTTGATGATGTCGGGACAGTTTAAACGCTAGAAGGTTTGTTCAGCCTCAAGGAATCCCTCGAAAGGTTCTCATGGGCCCCCACGGTGACGTCGATCTCCACAGGTCCACTTCACGGTGCCTTACGATCAGAGTTTTAACCCCTTTCAACCAGCGACAGCGTCGATCTTTACCCACCACGAACGAAGACGGCCGGCAGAGGCTTCAAGTACCAGGCGAACCTCACCTCACTAAACCAACTTGCCAAGGCCGCCAACCTGGCATCATATGCAGGCACGCGGCTGCCGAAGTGGTCCCTGATGGATCTGCCACATGAATCCCTCTGGGATGATAGGATCTATCCGTGCCGTGCCAGCATTAATGCCGCCGCGGCGCCTTATCCCAAGCCGAAGAGGTTCCACCCAGACGTCATTGCGTACCAATAGTGGTTGTCCAGTCAGGCCGTCGTTTCTGGCGACTGGAGACACGAAAATAAAACACTGGACCTTGTGATAAGATACCATGAGAGCCTTCATCGCGAGCGCCTCCACCGTGTGTCCCACTGGCTCCAGAATTTCTGTACACAACGGTGATATCTCAAGGCTGAGTCGTTGAAAGGCTGACGAGTGGTCCGCTTCAGGGGTCCGCAATAGCATCTGGAGGGACCAGTTCGTACCCACCTTCAGGTCCACGTAGCATAGTCGGGTTTGACTCGGGCGGCATTTCATGTTGATGTGAGCTCGGCTGTGACAGATCATGGTCGAGAAATCAGCGCAATGTGGGAGCAGTCGGCAAACGCGGCGAGTATCGAGAGAAGATTGCGAAGGATAGCAAATTCGTTCATCAGGTTTTGTACTTAAGGCTTCTCTGCCAGCCCTGAAATGGGTTTGTTTTTATCTCCATTCCCCTTTCACATAACCAAACAGTTTCCTACATATTATCTTGATACCCAACTCGACAAGAGAGACCTTTATTCAAGCGTTGAACATTTGAACCATACAACCCAAACCTCCCGCCAACAACCACAACAATGGCTCCTTCCGCTATCACGCCCCCTGCTACCACTCCCTCCAGCCCAACTGGCAAGTGGGAGCGTCCTATCCCTACTAAGAAGGGCTCCGTCTGCTCTGTTCACTCCATCGAGCTGAACGACGGAAACTTCATCCCCGCGGTCGCTCTCGGCGTGTATAAGGCTCCTAATGGTCAGGAGACCGAGGATGCCGTCACTGCCGCTCTCGATGCCGGCTATCGTCACATCGACTCTGCCGCCCGCTATGCCAACGAAGAGGCTTGCGGCCGTGCCATTCGCCGCTGGCTCGAGCGTACTGGCACTCCCCGTGAGGAGGTCTTTGTCTGCTCCAAGCTCTGGGACGCCGACCACGGCTACGAGGCTACCTTTGAGGCTCTCTGCACCTCCCTTGACAAGTTTGGCCTCGACTATCTCGACCTCTACCTCCTCCACTCCCCCGCCGACGACGACGAGAAGCGCCTCGCTTCGTGGCGTGCTCTCGAGACCGCCCAGCGCCTGGGCAAGGTCAAGTCCATCGGCGTCTCCAACTTTGGCGTCGCACACATGCAGGACCTCCTCGAGAAGGCTCGCGTCGTCCCCGCCGTCAACCAGGTAGAGGTTCACCCCTTCTGCCAGCGCGAGGAGCTCGTCAAGCTCTGCGCCGACCAGGGCATCAAGATTGAGGCCTACTCCCCGCTGGCTCGGGGCAACAAGCTCGAGGACCCTACCATCAACGCCATTGCCAAGAAGTACGGCCAGACCCCCGCCCAGATCCTCCTCAACTGGAACGCCGCCCGCGGCAACATTGTCCTACCCAAGAGCTTGACCGCCTCGCGCATCCAGAGCAACCTCGAGTCCTTTGAGTTTACGCTCGCGCAGGAGGACATTGAGACCATCAACGCTCTCGGCAAGGAGAACTACGTCACCGGCAGCATGCACAAGTCCGCCGACTAAAGTGGTCGCCCTCAAGGCTTGAAGCTTTCTTATCGCACCCACGCGTCCATCTGCCTGATAGTTCCCAGGCGGCAAAGCGCGAGTCTACATACCAGGATCTAGCTGGGTGGGATCTGATATCAACCAGAACAGGCATCGAAAGCATCGAAAGAGGTGCATCGCGCTGCCGCGATGAAAGACTGCGGCGCCGCCCAAGACTTTACTGGGCTTTTGGATTGGCATCGCGTCTCTGAGCACTTTTGTCGCTCAAGATCGCGCATTTTAACGCATTATGACCACATACTCTGGAGTATCAAGAATAGTATAGAATGAATATTTGATCATGAACAACCTCTCTCTTCACCGCCTTCATATGTGACCCTCTCGATGTAGACTTATGATTATCCCCTCATCTTCAGAGCTTGTGAGTCCGAATTCAGGTTTCTTGGAGGGCGCGTCTGGCGATGATGACAATCACATGCATGCCGGATTGGAGCCATGTCCCACTTCTGATACTCAAGCTGTAGGCGCTAGCTTCCCTGACGAGGCAAATTCAAGGATGACAATGTAACATTATCTGCTACCGTTTCAAGAATAACCTGGGTCTGATTGGGATGCTTGGGTAACGCTAGGAACCACTTTGGATCTGCAGCAACTGCCTGTTTAGTGTGGGCCTCCCGGTCCGATACGGGCGACCGGCACGTCGTGCGCAATCCGAGAATGCCCGACAAGTATATAGTTGCTGACTCTGTTTCATGTTTTGATCGGCTGAGACCCATTTTGTACTAATTAGCTAATAGCGGCATGAGGAAACGGTAGTGTGACGGCCGTCGGAGTGGAAATAATATTCACAGAGGTATTTGGACAGGAGAGCAGTGAGCCATTGGCGAGACATGAGCAGCCCATCTACTGGGAGGCTGGAAAGGGCCCGACAGTGGGAAAACCAGGAATGAATCGCCGGCAGCTTCAGGAGCGACAACTTAGATCCCCTGGTTCCTATCTCTGGCTAGACCTGGCAGAGCAATGTGACGAGTGGTATGAAGAGCCGAACCTATAGGGTGGTACATGTAAAATCTTCAATTTGATGCAGTGGATGAGCAGAGACACAGTTCATGAAGCCTTGTTTTGAAATCTTACGCAACAAGTGGGGCGTCCAAACAATAGCTCAAGGATATGAGCTGGTAACTAGTCACCAATTTGATATTGTGCCGCAGACATACTACGCTAACTCAAACAGCAGCATATGAATCGTTTGTATAGATACAAAAGTAAGCTGTGCCAACTTCCAAATCCCCGTAGGACGTGGATCTGAGTTTGGAGTGAGCATACGAGTTTTTTGATAAAAACGACTTGGGCACGGTGGTCTACAAAGTAGGACAGTGAGCCAACATGTCAGTGTCAAGAACATCTAGGAGCTTGCTTCATCTAGAGCATGTTTCTTCAACTTGAACTTTGTAACACACTGTCTCGAGTATTAGCCGGAACTGCTCAGGAGCATCTGCATCCGAAGACGTGCACCACGTGCCGACCACATTGCTGATAAGCGTCATGCCGATATGACGACAGTTTTTCAAGCTCCCTCACTCTGAAGTGCTCCAATCACATCAAGATATGTAATGGACTGGCTCTCTCTGTGGCACCCACTAAAAATCACCTCCGACTGAAAGTTCATTGGTGCGACGGATCACTATTTCTGATAATGGTGCTTAATTTAAGTCTTGCCTTGTTTCTATTATAACGAGGACGTTGCGCCTTACGATACTAATCGCCTGGGTTTATGGCATAGACTTCTATCAAATACTAAGCCTTACTCCTATAGTAGCACTTCTGTCCGTTTAGAACCTTGGCAGGTCGTAACATACACATGGCTAAAAGGCCTAATGGGAACCAGAATATATGGAAGATAGACAATTGTGCTCTGCTACTTCAATCTCATCATCATTGAGGGACACTCCTGGCGTTGGGGACACCAAACTTAGGGCTGAAAACAGACCTCAAGGACGAATTATATTGCCCGCTTTTCAACGGGATATCCTGACGTTGGAGGTATAACTTTTCTCCTAAGCCCGTCGGCTAACTGAGATGACGCGCCTGCTAGGTTTCTTCTATATCCTTGATAACCTGAAAAATCCAATCATGGCTGGTCCCGATCGTGTGACGCACATGGCGTACCACCAACCTGCTCCGGTCGCCTACCCACCCGACCCCCTCAAGCTGGCCGATTGGTATTCCGAAGCACGCAAACAACGTCAACGCAACTGGATTCTGTGCCTGAAAGAGCCTGGTGTACTCTTTTGAAACCTTCTACAGCCAAGGAAAATAGTCGCTGATCAGTGGCTGTTGTCCGTAAACCAGACCGAAGCATCGTACATGAAAGAGCGAAGCTCCTTGAAATTTGAGCTCGACAAAACTTATCTTTGCCTGACTCTAATGCCAGGAAGCATCGCATTTCGTAGATTCGAATGAACTGAGGCAGTGTTGTCCTAGCAATCTCGCACCACGCAATCAACATGATTGAAAGCAAAAACGAGTTGATCTATGCCAGGAGGGTGACAGAGTTGGACGATCGAAAGGCGCGGAGAAGCCATCGTTCGTAGGGCTATGCTGATCGCCCACTCTCCACTGCTGTTCGAGTATTCCGATGCCGGTCATCGCACCTGTCGAGCTTAGCCATTGTTATTGATTGTTTGTTGTGGACGACGATCGCAGCGGCTGGTTGTGACAGATGATGAGTGCTGTCACCAAGAACGAAGTTGATGACAAGACTTTTGCAGCCGTTGAAACAAGTCAGCCTTGCCAGCGTGTGTGACCCCACTGCCTCGAGTCCGTTCGAGGAAAGGCGAAAAGGAGCCAAGAGAGGCGAAAAGCGATGGAGCGTGGCAGGTCTGGCAACGGTGATTGGTCATGGGGAGCTGGCAGGGCAGAGGGCAGTGCTCTGGTGGTGAGACTATCTGGCCTGAAGAGGTGGCATCTGGGGGCGGCTGAATGCAAGGCAGGCGTGCGATGCGATACCGACATGAGGCTTCGGGTCCGAGAAATGATCCCTGCCTGACTGAGCCTGGTGCCGAGTATCGAGAACGAAGGCATGTCAAATGATGCCTCACCTGAGGTCGGTGCTGGCAGGGTCTGCCTCGCTGGTGGATCGAATGGATCACACCCTTCTGCCTGCACGGCCAATGGGCTGACGGGTAGATGCGGCTCGGCTGCCTAGGTACCTACCTTCCTAGGTGCCTTGGGTGCCTAGGTAGTTGCCTGAGATGGGTACATCAGTGAGCAACGGCTGATGCTCTGACAAGATGCCGACGACTGGGCATTGTCAGCACGGCGAAATTCTGAGTCTCTGCGGCAACACCGGCTTTGAATGATCGTCTCGTCTTGCTGCACTTGAGGACCCGACCTGCAGGTTGAGGCCACCCCCAGCCAAGGTTCTTGGGCCCGCTTGGCCTTCTAGAAGGCGTCTCCGGTGAAGCGAAGAAGGCACACGTGATGGCAGATTATGTTCCACGTCGGCCAGTGCGCAACTGCGCCCAGGAACCTAAGGCGCTGGTGGCGTCTGCCCCCAATCGGACGCTGTGGGAATCCCCTGGAGCCTGTCACGTAGGGGGTTCCTTAGTGGACAATGGTCTCCTCGACTGTCCCCTGTGACACAGATGCATTGCTGACACTGGAAGGAGGGGGGAGGAACGCAGGCAGGAATGAGGCAGGAACGCAGGCAGCCTCCATGTGCGCCTCCTGCCAACCACATCCAACCACACCCATCCACGTGACACCATGCCGTTGGAAAACAGACACGAACAGAAATACCGAACCATCCATCATGCCATGGCAATGCAAGGCAGACTTCCGCCCTGCTTCCCGCATCCATCTGCCGCCTGTCATTCGGTCTCTCGCCAGATGTTGCTCAGGCGAATGAGGCCCATACCTGATGGCATAGTCTCATGCAGATTGAGGCGCCACAGGCAGCCATCATGATGGTTGAGACAGCTCGATATAACAAGGGCCGTCTGCTCTCGATCAGTCTGGCATTCGAATCCTTGCATCACCTTCATCTAATCATCTCGAGCAACTTTCTATCCCTCTAGAGTTGCTAGCATATCTTGATATCTACTCACCAGGCCCGTCTGCCTCTGCCACCATCACCATAGTAAATCCAGACAACCACGTCGGCCACCTCAACTCTAGTGCCGGCCTTGCAAAAGTCCGCCAGGCTCCCTACGTTGGAGAATACGTGAAGAGTTCTGAATCTTCGTTCAAGACGTCTCGAACACTCAAATAGCTCTAGAAGCACTCTCCGACACCCCATACCCTACCACCAGTCAACACCACCACAACACCGCCATCATGTCGTACAGAATCGCAGCCCCCGATGAGTACCTTGCCATCACGGGCATGAATGTGCAGTCGGTCAAGATCACCAAGGCGACATGGCTGTGGCCCTTTCAGCGTTGCATGCGCTTCAGCGTGCAGCCTCACGACTATGCCATGAACCTGCAGGCCATGACCAAGGAGAAGCTCATCTTCCTGCTGCCCGTCGTCTTCACCGTCGGCCCAGACGTCAACGAGCGCGGCGCCAACTCGTCGGTCGAGAGCCACGGCGCCGACGGGGACGAGACGATCGAGCGCGAGGACCGCGGCGACGCCCTCACCAAGTACGCCATGCTGTTGGCCGACGCCGACGAAAACAAAAAGGCCAAGCGCAACACGGCCGCCGACAACACGCACGTCGGCAACATTGTCAAGGGCATCATCGAGGGTGAGGTGCGCGTGCTCGTGTCGTCCATGACCATGGAGGAGATTTTCACCGAGCGTGAGGTCTTCAAGCGCCGCATCTTCAAGAACATCCAGTCCGAGCTCAGCCAGTTTGGGCTCAAAATCTACAACGCCAACGTCAAGGAGCTGCGCGACGCGCCCGAGAGCAACTACTTTGAGAGCCTCTCGCGCAAGGCCCACGAGGGCGCCAGCAACCAGGCGCGCATCGACGTCGCCGAGGCTCGGCTCCGCGGCAACGTCGGCGAGGCGCGGCGCGTCGGCGAGCAGGAGCGCGAGATCGCCATGATCAACGCCGAGACGGCCGTGCAAAAGACGGAGCGCGACACGGAGCGCGCGACGGCCGAGGCCAAGTTCAGCACGGCCGAGGCGTCGCTGCACCGCGACGTCGAGATTGCGCGCGTCGAGGCCAAGCGCGCGCTCGAGGTGCGCGACGAGGACCTCAAGCGCGCCGTCGAGATCAAGCGCGCCGCCGCCGAGGTCGAGCGGCTGCGCGCCCGCGACGTCGTCAAGGCCACCATTGCCCGCGAGTCGAAGCAGCAGGACGCCGACGCGCGCGCCTACGAGATCGAGGCCGACGCCAAGGCCAACTTTGAGAAGAGCCAGCGCGAGACGGACGCGCTCGCCTACAAGACCCAGATGGACGCCGACGCCGCCATCGCCGCCGACTTTAACCGCACCACCAAGGCTGCCGACGCCGACGCCTACGCCGCCCGCACCCGCGCCGAGGCCCACCTCATCGCCACCCAGAAGGAGGCCGCCGGCATGCTCGCCATGGCCGAGGCCTACGGCAAGATGGCCGACGCCTTTGGCGGCCCCGCCGGCCTGCTGCAGTACATGATGATCGAGAAGGGCACCTACCGGGAGCTGGCCGACGCCAACGCCAGGGCCATCCACGGCCTGCAGCCCAAGATCAGCGTCTGGAACACGGGCAGCCAGGGCGCTGGCGGCGGCGGCGGCGACGCGTCGGGCACCGAGACGATGAAGAACCTCTACCAGATGCTGCCGCCCCTCATGACGACCATCAACGAGCAGACGGGCATCACCCTGCCCGAGTGGCAGTTTGGCAAGATGGCCGCCGGCACCGAGGCCGTCAAGGGGGAGGTCAAGGTCAATGGGAAGTACTAGGAGGGGGTGGCTCAGAAGGGCATTTGAGGGCTCGGGCAGAGTGGATTGTGAGCAGCAGTCGTTGTCTTTCTTTTGTTCTTGTTTTGCGATACCCCTGTACTTTAGGCTATAGACATGCCAATTTGGTTTTCTCTGCCTTTTCATGATGTGTGATCAGTCTACTATTCGCCTGGGAGCCTAGGAAAGTTCGATGACTCTCCTGCACTACTCCCTCGGCAACCCCCCAGACCACCTTGATGACGAGTTTGGCAGGATTTGAAACACATGATGAACAAATAACAACACCATTGACGACATGAAGTTTTCGCTGTTTGTCATTCACTGGCCGTCGAACGTTGTTATGGTGGAACAATTTTCAACGCCAGCATCCCTGATGTCTGGAATCTCAAAGGTAGATAGCTACTTCTGGGCTTCCTCCAATTCCTCCCCTATACTTCCACGGTATGGAATATGCTAAGAAATACGAATTGCCACCAGCAGACGGTTGGTGATCGAGATCAATCATAGCAGTGACTTGCACAGTGCCTACCGCATGAGGCATCACACTTTGCGCACAGAAGATGGCGAGCCAACAGTGCGCGGGTACCTTGCACGGTCATGTCACTGTACACACATGATCGGGTTGCGGCCACGATGAGATGCAGACAAATGTACAAAGACTTCTTAACTCGTCACGACTGAACGTCCAACTCATCACAACCCCCAAGACAATTGAAGATCTCAGAATTGACGCATCCGAGTGAGTTGTTCAGTCAATGTTCTCTGACTCTGGCCCTACGAGGTGACTGAATCCCGAGCTTCGCAATGGAAGCTGTCGCAATGGACACCGCCTTGGATTCACAACCGCAACCCGGGAGCTTGCAACCTGGTTCAGTATCGACCCCAAGCTCCTTCCTAGACGAATTCCTGAAGCTTAAGCGGCCAGACGGGCAACCAGACACCGCAGCTCGCAGCGAAGCCGTGGAGTCTCTTATCGATGCCCTGTCACCGTGGGAACGTTGGCATCTCCGCACACGGATGAACGCGTTGTCCATCGGACTAGCCCGCCTCCCCGACCTCCCCGCCGAAGTCATCGCCATGATCGGCTCGCATCTCCGCCTCAGCGACATCGCCTCGTGCCGCGCCGTCTCCCAGGCTTGGAGCCGCGCCTGGACACAGGACGAAGTCGCCAGAGACCTCCTGCGCCATTTCTACCCCGGTCTGCTGGAGACGGCCTCGGCCGCTGCGCCGCGGCGCCCCGCGCTGCGAGTCTTCGACGAGGCCTCCCGCAGGAGCCGTCGCCGTCAAGCCTTCCGCTTCACTGCGTGTCTGGCGGAGGACACGGTTGAGCTCTCGGAACCTGACATGGCGGAACGCCCGCCGGCTCTGTCGCCGGATCCAGCCCTCCACCCGGGAGGCGAGTTTCCCGTCATGCATCCCGGAGCACACGGTATGGTCTTCTATAACATCTCTGAGCGTCAAAGGGAACAGCCCAACCAGTACTGCCACGGACGGTTCCTGTGGCAGCTGGACGACTGCTGCTTCTACCTCGACAACTTTGACACGGGGTACCGGCGGCTCATATCCTGGACGGAAGGGCGGCTGCGAGGCATTGCGACGTGCAACATTGCGTTGACCTCCCATCTCGTCGTTCTGACAAATGAACGGAGGAACTTACTGTAAGGCCCCACCCACCGCGCGACGAGATGCTCGAATTGCAGAATCTCACACTGACTGATTAGCGTGGTGTATAACATGGCACTCCAGGAGTTCCGGACCGTGTCTCTACCCTCGCGACTCGATCGCTGCTATGCAGACCGTACGAGTATCGGCCTCGCCCTACATTCCGTATCGGAGATGTACCTTTGGCGATGGGACGAAGGCCTGCAAGCCCTCGAGGTAGCGCCTCCCCATCGCGCCTCTTCGGAGCCGTATGGCGAGACATGCTTCATGTTCCACCCCACGAAGCCCAAGGTTTTCTCCATCGTGACGCTCTGCAGGACGGGAGGCAATCGCTCTGGGTCGAGGAGGAAAGCCGAGTCGGTCTACAGTCTTCACCTCCACGTCAGTGACTATCACGATAGGCAACTGCTCACGACAAGGACGCACGAACGCACCAATCTGCCCAGCAGAAGCAATCCCCTAGGCCACCCGCAACAGCGACGCCCCAGAGGGTCCGTCAGAGACGAGATCCGCTGGTCATCGCAGAAGGCGTTCCATCCAATCAACACGCACGGCACGCATGCCGCGTTCGTCGACAGCCCGTCGTCCAAAGACGTTGCGCTGGTCTCCTACAACATGGTCACGCGACAGATGCATCTGGACCTCCTCGGCGACCAGCCCGCCGCGCTCTTCAAAAAGTGGCGCGACCTGGGTGGTCAAAATGGCATCGGGCTATTCGTGTTTATGCTCTGGGAGGAGAACCTCTACGTGCACCTGTGCCACAATAAGAGCGGAACCGCGGCTTTTGGTTTCGAGCCTTTCCTGCGCCACGTAGATATCAGGAGTGAGGAATGGAACGGGAAGCTAAAGTTAGCTGTTCCCTCGAGAGGGATGGCCTCCAGTATTACATCATACTTGTATGGGGACGATCGCTATCTTCTTCTCAGTCGCGAAATAGCACATTATTACGTCGTCTGGAAGTTCGACAATCTGGATGAGCCAGGCAAGGCTCCGAAGGGGTGGAACACCTGGAGTGAGATTCAACAGCGTTTGCCAGACCATCGCGCCGCCTGGGCGCTCGAACATCGGGAGACAGACGAGGAAAGCCAGACCAGCAGCATGGAGTATGACACTTAAAGGAGTCTTGAATAACCAGTCTGTATATGGAACTAAGATGGAAATTGTGTTGACACGTTTGGAGTCTAAAAAGAGTGATCAGGCCAGGAAAAAGGAAGCTGCGTTTCGCCTAGAGTTGTCAACGTTGCAAGCTGAGGCTATAGTGTCTGGCCGAGCCTGACGCCACGGCTGCTCTTCAACCCGCGTTATTGCCACTTACCGAGCCTTTAAACTTGTTGTTACGTATTCTGACCTCTCTGAGCTGACAAAAACCGAGACACATCAACAGTCTCCCCACGCTCAAAGCATCAGACGACTGGTCAGGCAACATCAAAGCTTTCGACCACGATGAAGCGCCACAAGGGATCAACAAGTCCAACCAGCACTCGCACGGTTGTACGCCTGGACAGCTGAATATTGCAACACGACCCGAGCGTGGGGTCGAAGTTCTAGAACATACGCTCCGCCCGGAATGTAGAAGAAGAGACAGACAGACATTCACGTCTTCCGTCCAATGGCAGGCCTCAGACCGCAGCACGAGACAGAGACGAGCTCACACGAGCTCGTCTCCACCCCAGTAGGGACAAGACAGCTCACAGCCGTGCCACCCGTCTTTGGTCCCCGATCCGCCCCGGCCCTAGCATGGGCTCTCCTGGGGGTTTGGGGTGTGCCTGGGTCTCACTTCGAGGTACCGAGTACGCGACGTCCGTCCCGCCGCGCAGCGTGCATAAGCCTATGAGCCTGCGGACCGGCATGCAGGCGATGGGACTCTACATACGTCGAGAGAGACATTGGGAGGGTCGGCCAGCCCGATTATTGCTCTCGCGCCTTTCCAGGTTGGGTTTTCGGGCTGTCTGAGGTTGCAGCAGGGTGATGGTTCAGGGAGTATGGGAAATTTGGCTTTCCTGGACCCCTTCCGACCAGTCAGGGGTTGGGAGTAATGGGTTAGACTCAATGTGGTGGCCAGTGTATTAATGAAGAGAATTCATCGTTTTGATATGGCGCATCATCGAGGGCTGAGTTGTGTGTTGATGACTGTTGCCGCAGGCGGTTCCTACAAACAGTGCTCACCAACGACGAGTAGAGGCGCTTGGGTCACGACGTCGAATCAGCATCCAGTAAATGGCCATGAGCTCTCGGGGTCAAGTAGATTCGTCCGGAGGATCATGATGGAATAAGGCAAAGGTGCGTCCCTGAGGCTGAGCAGTGGAAACCTCTCCAAGAATCGACCGACGAAAGGCAGTCTTGGCGATTCTGGACGATGTTAACACTGACTCTGCGTTGGGTGGATTCTTGCTCCAAGGTGGTCTTGCTCCCAAGGTGGTCCTGTCGGGGTGTGAGTATGTCCTTCGTCAATTTTCCGATGATACAGAAGCGGGTCATCCCAGCGCCAAGGATAAACTCGGAGCTACTGCAAGTCCAAGCTACGCAACGAGCGGTCCCATAGAGATCGACAAGCTCATGAACACATGCGTGCGCAGCAAACAGAACCTGTCACGAGCCAAAGCAGCTTTTTGACAAGGGAAAGGGAGAGAAGACAGAAAAAAGGTCAGCTAAACTATTTTCTCGGTCGCTCCCGACTTATGGAGAGATTGCTCTCCTTCTGGAAGGGTTGGAAATGGATCTCATCTGCCCATCACCTGTTTTTGGCCACACATGGTGGTCAGAGAGGCCAGTCTGACGAGACACGTTTATGTGAGACGTGACGTGGTTTGCCAAGATGCATTGGCTATCGGGGTAGGCCGCACCATGTCGTGTCTCGGGGACCCTGGTCGTGTGTCCACCCGTGTCGTTCGGGGAGGGTCGACAAACCGGCCGGCCGTTGCCACCATTTGAACCAGCAGCGGAGGTTAATTATGCGAGCGATGCATTGGTAGAATTGTCTGCTCACTGCTTTTGGAAATCATACTTCAGTCAACCCACCAGACCATTGATTCAAAGGCCGCTTGAGCTTGAGGAGAAAGCCAACGAGCCGCGTAGGCCGAGGGACCCCCCACGTGGTCGTTACTTTCGTGTCGTATGCTTGGTTGAGGGTCGGTGTTCGGACGTGGGCGCATGGCGGCGAGGCCCCTCTTCTCCCTCGGGTGTACAAAGCTCATGGCGAGGAAAAGGTCTAGGTCGAACCTTGGAGGGACGGGGCCAGAGACGCGCAGGATAACAGGATAAGGTTGATAGGAGCTGATGATTGGAGCATGGCTGTCGAGAAGCTGTCGCCACGCGCGGTGGTCATACCGAAAGGGGTAAGGGTCGACAGGTATGATGTGTGGGATTGGGCAGAATCGAGTCGATGATGGATGACGGGAGTATCTGAGCTTGATGCATTTGGGACAATGTTCAAGGGGGGGAAGGAGGGGAACTGGTAGGAAACCATGGCAGTGTCCAGCGTGAGAAGTGAGAAGTCGAAGGGGGTGAAGTCGTCGTAGAGAGGCCCCACCACGTGGGCGATTCAGCAATTATGATTGGGGCACGAGATCTGGGGATCTGATCAACAAGCCAATCGAGTGATCCAGGTCGACCACGTTTCGACTTGAGCTCGTCTTGGCCTCCGCAACTGCCACCGTTCCCACGCGCCAAGGCCTTTCCCTCTGGTTCCTAACCTCCTAACCTCCACTCCTCCACTCCTCCAGCATCCACCCCTCCCCTCCTCCCCTCCTCCCGCCTCCCAGAGCCCACCAACGGCACAACCTCAGCACCCGCAGCTGGGCCGGACTATGCTTCTGCACTCGCCAGTCCATGGAGGCCATGCAGGCTGTCCCATGAAAAATACTTCGGCGATGCGATGGATCGAGCAGGAGCACGAGCAGGAGCACGAGCTAGCCCTGGCTCCGCTCAAACGCCAATCCAATGCGCAGCAGAAGCCCAAGGGCGTGCCTCCCGCCTGCCTGGTCTGCCGAAGCCCTGGGCTTCGCTTGTCCCGCCAGCTTCGATCATATAAAGATGATCCCTCCAATCTTGGCCGCCTTCTCAGATCTCTTGGTCTTCACTTGGCACACTCCAACCCAGTCAATCAGTCGCAACCTCGACACCACGACCTCTGCAGAGATCTCTGGGCATTTCTCGGCAGCCCTCCTTGGCTCTTCCTCTTGACCACACCACGAGGCCTTTGACAACCCGCCCGCCATTGACTTGATCAACCAAGTACAAGATCACCGCCAACATGGTTCTTCACGAGTACACCTACGTCTTCGCCATCGGCACGTGCTTCGCCCTGCTCGAGGCCTACAACAACGGTGCCAGTAAGTGAAACCTGCCTGCTGTGTGCACGTGTGCACGTGTGCACAGCAGCTGTGCCATCCAAACAAGGCAGAGCGCTAACGAGCCGCTCTCAAGACGATGTTGCCAACGCTTGGGCGACCTCCGTGTCGTCCCGTTCCGTTACCTACCGCCAGGCCATGCTCCTGTGTCTTGTCTTTGAGATGACCGGTGCCTTGGCAGTTGGCGCCCGCACTGCCTCGACCATCAAGAACGGTATCATCCCCATCGAGGCCTTCGACGGCAACGCTGGCGTTCAGCTGCTCGCCTTTGCCTGCGCCTCGGCCGGTGCCGCCATCTGGGTCATGTGGTGCACGCGCAACTCAGCTCACGTTTCGTCCACCTACTCCCTCGTCTCGTCCATTGCCGGTGTCGGTGTCGCTGCTGTCGGTGCGAGCAACGTCGAGTGGGGATGGAGCGGCGGTTCTGGCCTCGGTGCCATTTTCGCCGGTCTCGCCATGGCCCCCGCCATCTCCGCCCTCTTCGCTGCCACCATCTTCATGCTGGTTAAGCTGACTGTCCACCTCCGCACCAACCCCGTGCCCTGGGCCGTCTGGACCTCTCCCTTCTTCTTCCTCATCGCCGGTACCGTCTGTACGCTGTCGATCGTTTACAAGGGCTCTCCCCGTCTCGGCCTCGCCAAGAAGCCCCCTTCGTTCATTGCCGGTGTCTCGCTCGGCACTGGTTTCGCTCTGGCTCTCCTTTCTGCCCTCTTCTTCGTTCCCTATGTCCACGCCAAGGTTATCAAGAAGGACAACACCCTTCGCTGGTACAACGTCTTCCAGGGCCCCCTCCTCTTCCGGCGCCCGGCCCCTGCCGGTGCTGAGTTCGCCGATGTTCCCGACTACGCTGTCATGAAGCACGGTGGTGAGGACGATGATGAGGAGAACCAGGACGGTCCCGAGCAGGGCATCAAGGGCGATGTCATCAACGACAAGTCTAGCGCCAACGACAAGTCCAGTGCCGACGACATCACCGCCTCCATCCCCGCCGAGAAGCACCAGGCTGTCGCCCGCGACAACGAGAAGGCCCTCATGTACAACGAGACGCCTCAGGAAGCCTACAAGCGCCTCTTGAAGCGTGCTCGCGAGCGCCACCACGCCTCCCTTCGCAAGCAGCGCGGTCCCCTCGGCTGGGCCATGCGTCTTCTCCACAACAACCCCATGGGCGCCGGTTCCGTCTACGAGCTCCACAACCTCAAGGCCATCTGCGTCCGTCTGCCCGCTCAGGTCGTTGTCGCCCTCACCTACGGTATCAGCTACGACATCCACAAGGCCCAGGTCGGTGTCCTCGGCACCCCTGAGGGTCGCCGCATGGACCGCGTCTACAAGCACGCTCCCAAGTACGCCAACGAGGTCGAGCACCTGTACTCCTTCGTCCAAGTTATCACGGCCTGTACCGCCTCTTTCGCTCACGGTGCCAACGACGTCGGCAACGCCGTCGGTGTCTGGGCCGGCATGTACGCTGCCTGGAGCACCGGCAGGACCGCCGCTTCCAAGGAGCCTGTTCCCCTGTGGCAGATTGCCGTCGTGGCTCTCACCATTTGCCTCGGTTTCATCACCTACGGTTACAACATCATGAAGGGTAAGCTTCTCAACATTCCTCGCTTTGAGTCTCATTACTAACGCACAATGCAGTCATGGGCAACAAGATCACCTACCACTCCCCCTCGCGTGGCTCCTCCATGGAGATGGGCGCCGCCATCACCATCCTTATCTTCTCCCAGTACTCTCTGCCCGTCTCCACCTCCATGTGCATCACCGGCGCCACCGTCGGCGTCGGTCTGTGCAACGGCACCTTCAAGGCCGTCAACTGGCAGCGTGTTGGCCTCCTCATGTTCTCCTGGATCATGACCATCCCCATCGCCGGCGCCATCGGCGGTCTCCTCATGGCTCTTGCGGTGAACACACCCAGCTTTGCTTAGGTTAGATGGTGTAGGGATTTGGGATCATGGTGCATAGATGTTTAATTGGTGTCTTCTTTACTTAGATTGTGATATCCAGAGCGCGCTGAATAAAAATACTCGCTCATTCTACACTGCATTGCTTGAGTAAATCATGTGCTTTTGATCTCTACCAAAGAGACGGTATCGTCACAATGAGTATGGGCTCGGTTGGTTTTTCAACCGAACTCTTGAAACAAACAAAACAATAGATCAAGCCACCCACGACAGCCTCGCTTTAATTCCAGTTGTGAGCATGAAGAACGACTCGAGATGGGATCCTGAAATGCTCACCAGCAGCCCTGCCTCGGCTTAGTCACCACAACCCGGACGGCGCTGGCCTCAGCTCGGCACCCCACTCCCCATCCGCGAGCTACCTTCCATGCATGAACACGGCCTGCATCTTCTGCTTCTACCGAGAGTCGCAGCCTCGAATCCGGCAGCTTGGGTGCTGCTGCTGCTGCTTAGAGACGCACATCAGCCGGGTACGACAACCAAAACACCCCGCCAAGCGAGCGGAGATCCCGCTGGGTCGAGAGCCTGCCGTTGTACCTCGTCTTGCGCGGTGTGAGAGACCAGAGGGTGGGGGCGAGGGGGGCGTGGATGTACGAAGGTTAGTATGGACCAATGGCGGGAGCACGTGCTGTCGTGAAAGGGATAGACGGACGGAGGACTTTGTTCTGGTCTGTCAGAACGGGCAGCCGGTCGCGCCGTTGGGGATTTGTTGGAATTCATGAGAAAAAGCTAGTTTAAGGGGTAATGGTTTCCGTGCATGTCTCGTAAGTCAGATGATGGTGGAATGGAGGCTGCCCGCCCCCTTGGGCTGCCGAAGCTCGTCTGCAGAGCCCACCACGACGTCCCGGAGTGGTTTTGGAGCTGGAGATGGAAACTTGTATGCTCTGTGGCGGCCCTGTGCCATGGTGCTCGTTAAGAGTGTATAGACTGGTTGAGCTCGGGAGTTGTGCTTCGATATTTTGAAGTCATTGCATGAGGATCGTGGGGAAACGGGCAGAAACTTATGCGTGACCCCTAAAGTATATGACCGGCCGTAATGCAATAAGGTAGCACCCTCGAACGCGAAGCCGAAACGAGCAGATGTTGGTTGCCCTGACCTTGCTCTCGGCTGCTTATGTGTGAAGAGTTATATGAGCTCTCCCGGTTCGTTCTCGTTCGAGCCCCTGTTTCCGTGCTTGACAGGTTGGCAAATTTGTCATTTGTTGCGAGATGGTCTGTTGTCGTGCAGGCTGGTGGTTGTGCTGGCTGGCAAGATGCTGACCCCTGGTGAAAATTTCCCAAAATCAGGTCTTCATCCTTCTTTTCGTTGTTTTCTGCATTATTTATGGACATGGTGAGCCCGAGTTGGTCGGACAATGGTTCTGCTGTCACGTCTATCTTCGGGAGACAACACGTGTGGCAGCAAACCCCCCTCCATCGTGCGCATCAAATTGCTGACTGGCCTTCTCTACTAGATTGCCGTTCAATTTCCCGTCCAAAGGACACAAAACACTTGATCCATCGTCTTTCAAATATAACAACCCGAAAGTAAACAGCGAAACAACATGTTACACCGACAGCACCAACACCCAAATTCTGCCGCCCAACATGCCCCGCCCGCATCAATCACCTTGACAAAACGACGCCACAGAAATAATACAAGGTGACGCTGGCTCTGTACTCGGAGATGCTCTAAACCCAGGTCTCGGTGATGGTTCAGTCGCCGACCGACGCCGACAGACTGCCAATCACAGATAACGCCCAAGACAAGAAGAGATGCATACTGGGGCGATCTTTGGGATGTCGTAAAAGCAAAAGGGCAGGCAAAGCCGTCGCTCGGCATGCAACCCAGTTGCACCATCAACCAGTCAACGCCATGGGTGACGAGACTGATGACCGTGCATGAACGAGGCCTTGATCGCGGATCTCGAGAGCCCAATGCAGTTCTGCACACGCATGACCATGCTGGTAGTTTCCAGGACGCACGAACACAACATTCTCGTGTCGGGTGTGTATGACTATAGTACGATCTTCTGATAGCCAACGAGTCAATGTATAAGAGAGATAAGAGCGGCCTGTGGTGTAGTCAGTCGATAGGTGCTGATCGAGCAGCACGGAAGGTTAAGATAACACTCGGGGTTTTGAAAAGGCACTTGCTGATTTGAATACCATTTTGAAACAGGACACTAGGCATGTAAATACGTTGTTTACCCTAAAGACCAGATTAGCTCTGCGTATCGACAAATGCTCGATGTATAGAGAACTAATGGGACATGGGAAAGCAGTGGGACAAAAGTATAGGCAGCTCGATAAATACACCCAGGAGCAATACCAGTCGAGTCGCAGAACCTTGACTTGAAATATAGCTACTAACCGATAGCGGCCCTGCATTGCACACTCCCAAAACTGTTGCCTATCTAAAGCCCATCTAACACACGTTACGATCCTAAAACCCGGATTTGTCGGGTGCAGCACAGTTGCCGACCGACGAGACGCGTATTTAAGTGATTTATTTTGGCACCATCGTATGGTCTACAAAATAGGACACATTTTCGACCGCTAACAGATTACAGCCCCAGTGCAGCATTGTACCTGGGCGTTAAATTGTGCGAGACTATCTCTTAGAGGTCTCACTCACGGGCTGTACACCGCTCGTGGTGCTTCGACAGAAGGGGCAGTCCGGCCATATGTGAGTCACCAGAGCTATCGTTTACAGTCGCTCTGAGTCGTTACGGTCTGACGCACGCTCGTCCCACAAAGTGACGATTCCCCAGCTCACAACATGCGGGACCGGCGTGGCCCGCAGGTTCCAGCCGCCATCAGCTGCTGTTCTCAACTCCGAGTTCCAGTCCGCGAACTGCACTAGGCCGTTCGTGTTGACCGTTCATGAGTGTTGCATGGTTAAGTGGCGGCCTCTGACAACGAACCATCTTAAAGAAATGGGATTTAGTAAATAAGTGACCCAGTCTGGACCTCCCTAAGCCGTGGTGAACGAAGCGTCAGCGCCTCTTTGAAAGAGAAGCCGTACTACTTGCGCCTTATTCTATAAGAAGGAGAGTTTGGCAAGGGATACCGCTAACAGCGATTTACTATGATCATCAAGGTCGTTGATACCGACGCTACTCGGCAAGAAATACCGACCAGCGTCGAGACCAGCGTTACTATGCATACTGAGCAGGTAATGTAGTGCATTCCGACCGTGCTTGTTTCTCGCAATCGCAAGTGTAACAAATTCAAGTAGAGCTCGTGTAGTTTCCCAATCTCCCTTCGGCGCTGCGTAGTGGAGGGCATTGAATCCGCCTGTGTCGAGCACTATCTTACCTACATTATGTCCCATGAAAGCTGTAAGAGATTTGCTATATTTTGCTCAATAAGCTAGATGCAGTAGTGTCTAGCCTTTAGAATCGCTTGCGGAAAATTCAATATTCTTTTCGAGCAGCTTCTCGAGGACGAGTTAAGACCCCATTCCTATGACGAATGTAGTGCGGGAGAACCGCGTTTAATGTATCCCTGGCGGTTACGTCAATGTCCGGGTGGGCAAGGAGGGCGTCAAGGACTTCTAGCCTCTGCTTGTCAAAAATATCCGTTGTTTCGGAGTATTCTTCCTCACCATCAGAGCCATGGTCTATCCGATCAAGCGTAACTTCGAATCTGAAATCTGGGCTATTCCATCCATCTCGATTGCCAAGGGGCCGCTTCCAATCGTGCATGTCTTGCTTGACTGCAAGGTTGTTAGCCATTATGCAGCGAGAGAACCCCGCAAGGAAGCCCTGCCCGACATTGCTGAGGTCAGGCAGCGCCCCCTGGAACTCGTAGGCACGCAAGCCGCCATTGGTGCGGACGAAGATGTGCTCGTAGACCACTCCAGCTTCTTAATGTCTGCAGTCTTGGCTCATCGTATGGTTGGGTCCCGGAAGTTGGTTCCGATCATGACGGTGCCTTCCGGGATCTGGAAATGGCCAGACGATGCTCAGGCATTTTCGTCACTCACGGCTTTGGACATGCGCCAATTCGCGACAACAGCCAGGTTGGATTCAAGACTTGAAGAGGATCTCGACAAGTGGTTTTCATCTCTGGGAAGACCGGCAGAGGAGACGGCAAGATACGAAGCAAGTTTTGTGAAGGCTTGGGATGGAGAATCTAGGGGCTAGGCGGGAAGGGAAGGTCGCCTCTGGTGCCATCCGAGAGAAAGAAGGTGCCATGACCGATCTGGGTTGTTGTTATGTAATCTTCGATCATTGGCTGTAAGCCCAGCAGTTGACAAGTCTTCGCTCTCCATTGATTGGCCGCGACCGGCCCAAGTCCGTCACGGAATGCAGGAATGCTCCACTTCCCCGAAGGCCCCAGAGAGCAGGTGCAGGTGACGTGCTCATTGTGGGGAGCCTCAAGCCGTAGCTGTGTCGGTGCTGCCTTTGGAGTCATCCACCGCCGGTCATCGCGCTTTCCCTGACCTCTGCCTCCCAACTTACCACCACCACCATCCCATCATTCCCAACATCACCAGTGCTCCCTGGGCTTCTCTCTCCGACCGGAAGCTCAGCCCCCCCTTCGAGCTTCATCCATATCAGCTCTCCTCGGAGAATGGATTGAAGAGGCACGACAAGCAACTCCGTCCTCCGCGATCTATCCGGCATCAGCATCCTCACCATGCCACGCCCTCCGAGCCCTCCCTCCTTCGACGACCAAGATGACACCTCCTCCACCATCGCGCGAACGACATCCTCACAATCATCCTTTCTCTCCGATACAAGCAGCAAACGTCGTCAAGCATACTACTCCCGAAGAGCCGCGTCCATCATTCGTGCCGTGTCCTTCTTCTCCTCTGTAGTCACTGCGCTCTGCGCTGGCTCCATCACCGTCTTCTCCCTCTACGGCCATATCTTCCAGGAGCGTCTGCACTACACGCAGCTTCAGGTCAACGGCCTTGCCATCTCGTCTTCCATTGCCCTATACCTTCCAGTGTCGGCTCTCGGTTACATCTGCGACCGTGCTGGCGCTCGACCGTTGTCATTCCTCGCCGCTCTCTTGTTCGGCTCCGGCTATGCTATCGCCGCCATTACCTATCGCAAGCTTGACTACGAGACGGCTGCCGGCCTTCGAGGGCGAGATGGAAGGCTTGTACGCATTGGAGGAAGCAAAGATGGCCAAGATGACACCGTTGCCGACTGGACATACCCCCTCATGATGTTTGCCTTTGTTTGTGTCGGCGTCGGTACATGCTCCATGTACCTTGCTGCCGTTGCCACGAACGCCAAGAACTTTGGCAAGGGCCGTCACCGAGGTCTCGCTCTCGCCGTGCCCATCGCTGCCTTTGGTCTCAGCGGCATGTGGCTCAGCCAGGTCGGCAGCCGCGTCTTTTACGAGCGCTTGTCCGACGGCACGAAGGGTGACCTCGACGTCTTCCGCTTCTTCGTCTTTCTGGCAATCCTCCTCATCACTGTTGGTGTTGCTGGCGCCTTCACCCTGCGTGTCGTCGATGAGGACGACCTCTTCGAAGAGGCTGTCGAGGAGCTCGAGCGCAGTGGTCTCCTCGACCGCAGCTCGCTTCTCGATGGCCGAGGGCGTGGTTATGGCGCCGTTGAGCGTTCCCGTGACGAGGAAGCCGCTGATGGTGCCGGCATCCTGGACTCCTCCACCCATCTGGATGACGCCAAGCTAAAGAAGGAATGGGTGCTCAATGCGGAGACGCGCAACTTTCTGACCGATCGCACCATGTGGTTCTTCGCCATTGGCTTCCTTCTCATGATCGGTCCGGGTGAGGCCTTCATCAATAACCTCGGTACCATCATCGGCACACTCTATCCGCCCACTGCCGCTGGCGAACACCCGGGGAAGGCCACTTCACCGTCGACTCACGTGTCGATCGTCGCCATCACAAGCACGATCGCTCGCCTAGCGACCGGCACGCTGACTGACCTGCTCGCCCCTTCGCCCGCGACGCAACACCTTCAGTTTGAAGCCTCTCCGAGACCCACGTTCCTTCGCGGGGTTTCCCTTTCACGTGTCGTCTTCCTGCTCTTCTTTGGTCTCACGCTCTCCGTCGGCCTCGTTGCCCTGGCTTCAGGCTTCATCCAAAACCACGGCGAACGCTTCTGGATCGTATCGGGCCTCGTTGGAGCCGGTTACGGCGCTGTCTTCAGCCTGACACCCATCATTATCTCCACCATCTGGGGCATCGAAAACTTTGCCACAAACTGGGGCATTGTCGCCATGTTTCCGGCCTTGGGTTCCATGTTCTGGGGCCTCGTCTACTCGGCCAATTACCAGAGCGGTGCCGAGGCGGCCGCCCGGCGCGGCGAAGGCGATGTCTTTTGCTATGGCAAGGAGTGCTATGCGCCAACGTTCTGGGCCATGAGCGGCACCGTGTGGCTTGCATGTGGACTGGTTTGGTATGCCTGGAAGGGCAAGGGTGGCTGGTCGCAGCGCGGCATCGTCGTTTGAGTCGCAGACGCGGCACACGAGATTGTGCATTTCCATAATGGCATACCGCATACTTGGCGTTGGGATTTGGCTAAAGGGTTTCTTGGGGGTATTTCCTGGTTTTCTGGGTACACATAGCGTGTAGCACGCAAGCAAGCAAGCAAGCAATCTACTTTCATTTCATCTTCAGGTCACGTTTGTGCGGTGCTACTGAGGTGCTGTAAGGGAATACGACTTCTTCTAGACCCGCAGGAACCCGCATCTGACCGTACACGATGATGATCATGGACGTACTATCTGTTGATGAAGCCGCGGGCAACACATGCGACGTGCAGCTATCTCAGCAAACCTCTTTACAGACATTGTGTCCTCGACGAAACCCATGCTGGGCTCCGTATCACGCCGGCAGCGTCTCGTTCCCAGGAATCAAATCGCATCAACTCCAGCATCCCCAAAATGACAGATTCACTACTCCAGAACGCGGGACAAACATGTGCGCGGGCGCATGTCAAGACCGCCTCGTCACTCTGTACGAGCTACCTACCAAACCAGGCAAAGGCAGAGCCTACTACCCCACCCCCCTCGGCCATACGAGATACCGGCTGCGCCAATCCCGTCCCGCCCGCCTGCTTACCCGGCGCCAACGCCCTGTCCGAATCCCTACGACCCCTGTAATTTCAAGGGTGGTGCCCGGATTCGGCAACCCGCCACGTACAAGAAGCTGTCGCAAGATGCGAGACGAGGAGCCGTCCGGGCCGCATCATGCCACAGCTGTGCATGATTTGACAAAAGCAGCACGACATGAATCAAGTCAAATCGGTAGCTGGGAGGGCCAGAGATTATTTCTCAATTCTGACTACTACGTCCTGCAGCAGTGCGAACATCCAGCAATCCATCTTCCACGATGTGGTATGCATCTCTACCCTCCTCCAGTCAGCGAGTCCGACCCTGATGCTTCTCTCCAAGAAACCCGAAGCTCCATCCGAGCCTCTCGCTTGAACGGCAAATGCAAACATGAACCCAAACGCCTCTTTCCATGTCTATCGGCACATGGTGATGCGGACAAACCAAAAAAAAAAAAAATACTGGCCAAACCCGTGGCCCTCACGCTTACAAAGCAAATAATATGTGTACCTGGTCGAGACGACACAGTCGTCCCCAACAAACGCTCGTCTGACAGACGCCATGCCTGATGCTTCTTGTGTCGCAATTTTGGGCGACGACGGGTATCATGGTGTTTCTGACGATTGGCGTCGTCATTAGCCATGTCTTCGTGGCATAGAAGCGTCATGATGTATCGGTGAAGAGATGGAATGCTTCTTGTGTGCTTTCGTTGTGTGCCAGCGGCGCTCATCTCTGGATGATGTTGCCAAAAGCCGATGACCATCCTCACCGCCGCTTCATGCCGCCGTACCCAGTGCGTGCCATTTACACGCACGCAGACAGTCATGTATACATTGCCCATGAGGGAAGAATGGCTCTCAACGTCTTTAAGCAGGGATCCAGACAAGCTCAATGACACCATCGTGGGTGCGAAGTGGCTTGTCGTTCTCGACCCATCGGACGTCATCAGCCCGGCGAATGTAGGTCTGAAGCACAGAGCCGTCGGGATTGTTGTATGACTCGCGAAGCTCCCAGGCAATCTTCTTGCCAGTCCTCAGCATGGATGGCCGTTGGGGGCCGTACATCCAGTCCAAGTTCCAGCCTCTATCTTCCGGCGCGGCGTGGAAAGTGCCCTCGAATTGGTCGAGGTCAAAGTCAATGCCTTGTGGGTAATGGGCTACGCTGAAACCGTTGGAAATGACAAAATTGTCAGTTGTAACGAATCTCTGGTACGAACAGTCCTCGCCGCAGGCGTGGGCAATCTTGGTTGACTGGAAGGGATAGGCAAAGTGCCATCCTCCACCCTTGAAGTGGTGAACAGAGTAAGGCTTGATGCCACCCTCATAGAAACCGGCAGGATCTCCGAAAAGGTCAAGCTGCCACAAATCCCACAACTGGGTGAGCCTGACGTTGGTGTTCTCGTAGATGCATTTGCGCAGGAGAATATCGCCCTGAGGCCCCCAGCCCGAGTCGGCTTCTCGGATCTTGGTGTTGGAACGACATGTCGCAAAGATGTCCGTGATCTTCTCCGCCATGGAAACGCTGAGGAAAACCCCAGCACCGCCAAACGCCTGTGATCCATGACGCTCAATGGCGCCAACGTCCTCTGACAAGGTTCCAATGTAGAGTAGCTTCTTATGGTCGTACTTCTCGAACCGGGCCTTGAGCGCGTGCATATTGGGGAAGTATGTGTCGTCGTCGCACATGACAAGCCACTTCTTGTTGGGCCGCTCTCGATGGTTGTAGAGCATAGGGACGAGACCCAAGTAGCGCACCGCCATCTCAAGCCTTGAGTCGGTGTGGCTCACGTCGGCATCAATACCAGCGCGTGCCAGGCGTCTCGCAACATCGTCGAGCTCCGCAACAGTGGCGTCAATGAGTTGAAGAAGCATCTTGCCGCCATTCGGCCTGCCGTTGCTGTTGGTGAGCCAAAAAGCCCATTCCTTGATGGGATTGCTGGCTGGATTATTGATGCGTGAGAAAGTTGTAGAAACAGCAAACATGAACTCGGAGAGGTTGACGTCGGCAGGATAGGGCGACTGCGTGACCGGTACTTCGAGAGGCTCGGCACACTCCTGGAAAACATATCCGCTGTTCAGATCGACCTTCTGAAAGCTGCGGGGCAGTAGTTTCTGGTCGATATTGGTGTATGACAGTCGTTCGATGGGCTTGCGATGAAATCGAACGTATCGTTTGAAGTATTCAATTTTACCGGATAAGCCGTAGGTTTCGCCCACTTGGCGGAGGTGCTGCATGTTGATGTCGCAATTCATTCGATGCTTGTCTAGCGGCGTCCCAAGGTCGGCATCGTTGAGCACGGCATTGGCAGATTCGGGCTCGAGGGGAGTCTGCACGGGGACGGTAGGCGGGGGGGCCACGGCCATTCGATCGGCCGTCATCATCACGCGATTGCGTGCTTGACTGTTGTTGCGACTATTCCGAATGGTCACGCATACCAGGAATACAACGATTGCGGCGAGCACGAGTGTCCTTGTAAACTGATTCCGCGTGCTGCAGAGGCGGTTAGCTCGAGTGACGGGCATCCTGGCTCCCATGGTCGTCACGTCGACGACGCTGACTAGAGCACCCTTCTTCTCCAGCTTGGGCAAGTGGGAAATAATATAGCCTGGAGGCTGGTGAAGGCGCTCTGAGGCGGCAGGATCGGCAGTCGGGCGGAAGGTTGCGTGACGCTGCGCCTTCAGGAAGACACGGAGCACATTCGGAGATGACAAGATACTGATGGTATCAAGAATGCTGAGGAAAGATCTTCAAGGAGAAGAGGGTTGGTAGACAGGCAAGCAAGTTGTGAACAGGCGTCGCTGCGGTGACGAAAGGCGAGGTATGACTTGTTGGTAAGGAGGGCCTTGTGCCTAGAAGATAGGCGAGAAATGCAACGATGAGAGAATGTATGGCGGAGGAGGGGAGGAGATAGGACGACGCGGCGAATAGGTACAAAACAGAACGTGGAGGGTGTGAGGTGAGCGTCAGAAAGGCTGGAGAAGGGGGGCATTTGAGCGGGATCAAGCATAGATAGATGCTCGGTCTAAGTCTTCAGCGATGTCTCGCTTTGGCAGCAGTGGGAACACCTGCGGCGAGCCGAAGGCGTCGAGGCAGGCGCTGCCAGGACGGCACGAATGGGTTCCTCTGGAAGGTGGATGCAATACACTGTGTGGTTTACTGATGGATCCGGTAATGACCAGCAGGGGTCGCGGTGTCGGGATCGTGACTGGTGGGGCAAGATGCGGCAGGCGCTGGAAGGCCATGATGGGTGGGTGGTGGTGGGGAGACTCGGCCCAGTCCTGCCCTGTTCGTCCTTGAGTTGGTGGGTGCGTGGGGAGAGAGGGGACACGGCGGCGGAAGGGACAGTGAGAGGTTCTTCCCCTGGATTCCTGCCGCTGCGTTCTAGCAGCAGGTGCATCCCTTCTGACCAGCCCTTGGCACCGCTGGGGCATGTAGTCGTAGCAGGCACATTGGCTCTTCCGTGAAAGAGGGCTGCCCGTCGCCTTCTGTTTCGATCATTGCCCCGTATTGCGACTGTCAGAGCAGCACAGTTAAGAGATTGGGCTGTTCGAACCCTTCCGGAGAAATCAGTGCCAGCCTGCAGCTGACAGCGCGACCGTATTGGCGGCAAACGAAAAAAAAAAAATCAAAAAAATCAGGTCTGACCTTTCGGGCAACAGTCACACATTGACTCGACCACATTCTCGTTGTTGGCACTATTGCCACGAGGTGGAAGGTGCTCAGTTGGCGGGAAGCCTGAGCCTGGCTCCTTCTGCCTGCCCCTTGCCTCCAGCCAGTGCCCAGACCAAAATACCGACAGTGGTCGCGCGACCTACGAAGTACCTAGGGAGGCACCCTTCTTCCTTCATATCCAGCACCTTACCTACCAAGCCTACCTACTCAGGTCATCCACGCCAGGGATCCAGGACGAGTTGTCTACCCTTCTTTCACTCCCTACGTCCGCTCAAGCATCTGCATCAATATCGGCGTCTCGAAGCCGTGCCGCGTTCAGTCGCCCAGCCTTGCCAATCCAAATAGCGAGAGGGGACAAACACCCAGGCAGGCCACCTGTGTCTCAGCCTCATTCCGACATCAAACGATCGAGTCTGTCAGCATGCCTCGTCTTTTGCCACGACAACCAGTTTCCTCCCAAAGTCAGGAATAACTCCTCTAGATTCTGTAGATCTGGGACACACAAATCTGAGTTCGCTTACGCCTTTTCTAGCCTCGCTCGTACATAGCCTGCCTTCAGCCGCCAAGCTTGCACATGCCCAGACGTGGGATAGTAGTCCACCTATTTGCTTGTTTGTCCTGTCGCCCCTGTCGAACACGTCAAGCTTTCTTCCGTCTCCAGCACAGCACGGTTTGGCTTCCTTGGCCAGCACCCAGGCGGTCCACCATGACGGATACCAACAGGGACAATGGCGAGTGCTACCTCACAGTACTTTGCCAGCACTCGTATACAGTGGTCGTGCGCCGGCCAACACCAGGAGCTGGCCGCCGGGATTCCCTGACACCAGTGCCGTTGACCTGCCTCTGCCACCAAGATGCCGCGTCAGGTCTGCAAGAAAAGACGTCAATTCTCCTGCAAGCGGAACTTCAACGGAGCTGACAAAGGTCTTGACTGTGATAACAGGTTTCTCGAATACGGGGTGGTGCAGCGCAAGGGCATGAGATCGACTCGCATCACACTGCCATTGTGGACTCGTTACCCACCACTAGTCACTCCTTGTTGACGCGTTCCTGGCCTTGCACTACGTGCAACGTGCGACGGAAACGTCACTTCCAGCTTGCTAGCTTCAGATCTTGAACGCGATCGACAGGCCGTAGTGGTCGAAAGATCCAGCCTAATTACCCTCGAACTGACGCGTCCCTCGCTTTGGCGTCTCCCAGTATTCATAAGTTGCGCGTAGCTACGTGTAGGCCGCCCCGCCAAACGCTTCACTTGCTCATCGAGTCGAGCTTCGCTGGAGGGAGGATATACGGGGCCTCATCTGCAGGCCAGAATAGCCGAGAGGTTCTCAGCGACAAGCTGCGCGCGTCTTAGCTCCGTCGGCGGAAGAAGTGAAATTTCGGGCCTTGCTCGGGCATTGTGCGCGTGTTGTCGGCCGTTGCTTGCTGCACGTACACAACGGGCGCCGAACGCCCGGCCTATAGCTCGCGATGTGTCCGTCACTCTCAGCCATCCAAGTTGGGTCACAGTTCCCGGACATCCTTGTTTGGTGCCTTTTCTCAGTGTTACAATGTACAACAATGGACCTGCCGAATTCGCATCCACGTGCGACAGGTCAGAACGAAGGGGGACCAAGTTCGCCAAATTGACCGACTCATGATTTGACGGACAACGGCGAATGCCTGTGTTCACACAAAAGCTTCACCCGCACCACTGGTTGCATACAACCACATGAGGAGAACACTGCTTGGTATGCTCTTGGCTACCGCTCACCCAATAGCTGGGCAAGAATCACAGCGCGAACATTCCAGCGAGTTGGGACGAAGGCCCGCTAGCGGCGGATGGGTGTCTCGCGATGGAATGCCTGGGGTCTTGAGACTGACTGTCAAGCACGCAGAGGACATTGTCTCGGGCACTCGCATGTCTGGCAAGAGACACGCCACCCTTTCCCCGAATTTCACTCGCCATTTCTCCCTAGGACGCCACCCTGGCTATTCAAACTCAGCACGATTGAGGTGAGACTGGCGGGTTGTCCGATTTGACCTGGACGCTGACGCCTGGAGACCCCACGCCATTGTACCGACAACAGCAACCGAAAGTTAATAATGCCGTGTACACTGCCGGGGACGAAGATCATTATTGGTATCATCCAGAGGCTCGTCCATTGAGACTAGCCTTGTCGATTTGTGATGTCTCCGGAGGAGCGGCTGAGCTGCCTAAGAGCAATAATACGACCAGCACGGGGAGTTCCAGCTACAGAGCCCCAATCACCCAACTCCTCCGAACATCAGGGTCACGCAGGAAAGGAAATAGCCAAACCTTCTCTGCTCGCAGTCGGAGCCGCGTCATTTATGGCCAGTCGCACAGAGGAAATTCCTGTATGAACGACTTTTTCTGAGGTCTTAGCTTTCGAATTTCGTCCCCAACTTCAGGAGATGCGCGACCTCTACTACAGAAGTCTGTCTCGGTAGACGGTTCCCTTTGGCACACTACCTCACGAGTATCATGAATTGATTCTTATCGCTTCGCCAATCTCGATGCACCTGTCCACGGAGCCCATTTCAGGCGTCCACTATAGCTTTGGGTATGATATCATTATTGATAGTGGGTGCGTTGTGAAGCGAAAGTCCAGCAGAAACGACCTATAACATGGATATTATCCAATTTCATCCAACGCCCTCGCAGAAACCCCTTCGCTATAATACTGCGTACACATCCCTCTACTGGTATTGGAACTTCTGGTCGCCTACGCCCGGGCGCTTGACCCCGTCGTCGACATAACCCGGTAACGCCTCGTCGGCGCCGGCTGCACCTCCAGCGCCGCTCATGTGCGGCGGGCCGCCGTACTGGCTGCCTGTTCCGTGCGTAGCAGGATCGTGCACGTGCTGTCCGGCAACACCCTGCGTCTGACCAACGACGGGAGTCTGGCCCGTCGCGATGGGGCCGTGGGCGACCTGAGGCTCGGCCGGCACGGGGTGCCGCGCGGCGGCAGGTTCGCTTCGGGCAGGGGCTGGTTGGGTCTCGGCGAACGCGCAGGGCATCGTAGAGGGGCACGCGAGCCGGGCCATCCAGGCGCCAGTGGGGGGGACGTCCGCCGCGCAAGATCTGCTCGACGCTTGACCTGCTGCTTCTGGAAAAGGCGGCGTTGCTCGCGGCGCTCGGTGATGATGGTACCGTCAACCTGGATGCGGCGTAGAAGGCCGCGCGACTTGACGTAG